AAACCTATATATTATTTTTAGGTGGTGTTGCAAACATATAGTTTGGAGCTCCGATTTTTATGAATGAAAGATGTTATCAAAACATGACTATTGTATAAAGATTATATGCTCAGGTTTTATAAATTAATTACTACAATAAAAATAAGTTTTTATTGTAATAAAGCATGTGAGAGCAAAATAAATCTAAAGCACACTACTTTATGCAAACACATAGCCATATTATATATCAACATGACATAACCACATCATACCAAGGTGATGGAACAACATTTTCCATTTTTGCATCTTTTATTTTAATTATAAATCATTTAAAATCATTTATCAATAGCAAGTTAATTCAATAACTCAACCATATTGCATCCAATGAACATGAAATTTTTACCACATCACACATATAGCATCAGTAGCCTACCATAAAATTTCACCTCATTTGGAGCAACACAACTATAGATATGAATTTATTCCTAGAAAACCCTAATTTACAAAGATAAATATGTGCAGTAAAAACTTTCTACTAAAACATATGGTATTATGGAACTACTTCATAGAGATACTCACAAGGATTCCAAAACATGTTCATTTGCTATTTTACGATTTTTCTGCAATTTACTACGAATTTCCAAAGTTTCAGTCGATTTAGATGCAACAAGGGGAAAACACTTTTGCATCTGGAACCCTAAAGATTTCACAAATCAACTAAGCCCAGATCTGCAAAACCTTTCTCTCTGGTCATTAAGCATCAGGAACCCTAACAAGAGTTTCTATTTCATTTTATACCCTTCTTCTTCCTTAATACAAAGTAGGTAGGGGATGGCTTGGGGCCGGCCAGCAGGAGCCGGCAGCGGCGGGGAGGGGCAGCGCGAGCACCAACGTGCCCGCCCACACCCGTGGGTGGCCGCGGAGCGATGGGAGGCGGCCGGTAGCAGCCTGACCATGCAAGCCCACGGCTCGGCGGCGGAGCGAGACGGTGATAGGGCGCCCGATGGCGTAGCGGGACCAGAGCGGGGTCACTCCGTGTGCAACACGACACGGTGACGGTGGTGGCGGCTGCTAGGCACAAGGAGGCGCGGAGGCAAGAACACACAGTGGCGGGAGCTCGGCTCGCCGGCCATGGCTATGCGGTCATGGCAGGCGCGTGCTCTAGAGATACTCACAAGGATTCCATAACATATTCATTTGCTATTTTATGATTTTTCTGTAATTTACTACGAATTTCTAAAGTTTCAGTCGGTTTAGATGTAAGAAAAGGAAAAACACTTTTGCATCTGGAACCCTAAAGATTTCACAAATCAACTAAGCCTAGATATGCAAAACCTTTCTCTCTAGTCATTAAGCATCAGGAACCCTAACAACAATTTCTATTTCATTTTATACCCTTCTTCTTCCTTCGTACAGAGTAGGCAAGCGATGGCTTGGGGCCGGCCAGCAGGAGCCGGCATCAATGGGGAGGAGCAGCGCGAGCACCAACGTGCCCGCCCGCAGACCAGGTGGGTGGCATGGAGGACGGGAGGCGGCGTGTAGTAGCAGCCAGCCATGCAAGCCCACGGCTCGGCAACCAAAGCGGGGACGGTGACAGGCGCCGACGGCGTGAAGGGGACAGAGCGAGGTCACTCCTCGTGCAGCACGACACGGCGACGATGGTGGCGGCCCCTAGGCACAAGGAGGCGCGGAGGCAAGAAGACACAGTGGCGGGAGCTCGGCTCGCCGACCATGGCTATGCGGTCATGGCGGACGCGTGCTCTGGGGCGCTAGAGTGAGCGTAGGGACGAGTAGAGAGGCGAGGGCGAATGCCTGGGAGCCGAGGTCGCGGGGATAGGGGCTCGGCGTCCACACCTCGAGCGAGGAGGAGGCAGGGCACGCGTCGGCATGGTGGGTGCGCGGCCGGCACACGGAGGACACGTGGACAATATGTCGAACACCTGGCGGGCGCGAAAGTGCCGACTTGGAGGCCGTTTTTGGGCTAGCTACAGGCCAAACTGGGCTATGGGCCTTGAAGCAACCGGCGAGGCCAAGCAAGAAGGCGGGAGAGGAGGCGGCGGCGAGACCAAGCAAGAAGGCGCGGAGGGCCGCCGCTTCTGGCCTGACGGCGTTCACGCTCCGCCTGGCGAAACGTCTCGCTGACACTGATGAGGGCGCCGGCGTGGTCGACGGCGGCGGCCAAAACGTCCTCTTCTCGCCGGTGTCCATCTACGCGGCGCTAGCCCTGATGTCCGCCGGCGCACGTGGTACCACCCTGGACGAGGTGCTGACCGTGCTCGGCGCAGCGTCGCGCGACGAGAGTTCGTCCGTGGCGTGGTCGAGCGCGCACTTGCGGACCGTTCCGAGTCCGGTGCGCCGCTTGTGGCGTTCGCGTGCGCGCTCTGGCACGAGAAGACGCTGGCTCTGAAGCCAGCTTACGGCGCAGCCGCCGTTGAATCCTACAATGCCGAGACGCACACCGCCGATTTCCTCTATAAGGTTCAGTTCAGTCCCCTGATCTATCTATCAATTACATAACAACAGCAAGAATTAATTAGATCTGGAGATTGCTTCAGCTAATGCGTCCAGTCCGTGGTAAGCTAATCGATGTATGAATATAATATAATGCATGCAAGAAGAGGAGGCAAGAGAGGAAATCAACACATGGGTTTCGAAAGCCACTAAGGACCTCATCACCTCAATCCTTCCTCCAGGTTCTGTAAACTCTAATACCGGCCTAGTGCTCGCCAACGCCATCTACTTCAAGGGCAGGTGGTCCATGCCCTTCGCCAAGAAGGACACTGAGACCAGGCGCTTCCAGCGGCTCGACGGCAGCCACGTGCACACGCCGTTCATGCGCGGCCGTCAGGATCAGGCGGTGGCGAAGTACGACGGGTTCAAGGTGCTCAAGCTAGCCTACTATCCATACCGCATACCCCACTGGCAAGACGCATATGGCGGTCTTAATCGCAATACTAAGCAGCAAGATGATGGGCACCGGTTCTCGATGTGCGTCTTCCTCCCGGACGCCCACGACGGCCTGCCGAGCCTCGTGGACAAGATGGCCTCCTGCCCCAGCTTCCTGTGGGACCACATGCCGAGTAAACGCGTCGAGGTTGGCGAGTTGCGGCTGCCAAAGTTCAAGCTCTCCTTCTCCAGCAGAATCAATGGCGTTCTCAAGGCGATGGGGATCAAGGCCGCCTTTAAGGCAGGCATTGCCTCTCAGATATGCTGGAGGGCAGGACTGACCTGGTGTTGGAGCATGTTTTCCACAAGTCGGTCATCGAGGTGAACGAGGAAGGCACAGAAGCAGCGGCCTCTTCTGCTTGCATGATGAGATTGCTCTGTTATAGGCGCCCTGTCAATTTTGTCGCCGACCATCCGTTTGCGTTCTTTGTGGTGGAGGACGTGTCTGGTGTCGTCGTCTTCATTGGACACGTTCTCGACCCAACGAAATCAGAGTAAACGTAGTGAAGTTTTGTGGTAGAAGTAGAACGGTACCGCGTAGAACGGTAGAAGCCGCTCGATGGAGGAGTTGCTTCACGAAGAATAAAAGCTCGATGTATTTTTGTGCTACCTTAGGTGCTAATCTTAATTAAGTTCAATGCTGTTTTATGATAAATCGAAAACCAACAGGAATTGTCCAGCTTCCAAGATTGAGATGTTTTACTTTGCAGACAAGATATATATCCAGCATTGAACTTCTTCTGGAACACAAAACAAGTCCTTTAATTTCGTTGTCGGTTATTGATCTGAGAATCGAAGTTTCTATTTTTTGTTACACCATAGATTGTTTCTCTCACCTGAAAATTTTAAGTTGCTAGTTTTTATTTGTCATTTATGATGGTGACAATATTCTCTCATTGGCATCCTTCTGGGAACTGCTCCTTGCATTGAGGAGCTGGAGGTGGATGTAAGTATCTTCTTCTGTGCCGTGCTCTGCTTTTAGTGATTGCATAATTTAGTGGCTTCAGTTGCTTTGGCCCTTCTTTGATCTTGATTCTTAACTATGTCTTCAGTAGTTACAGCTAATAATTTATATTTATTCAAATTCAAATAGAGCACGTCTCGAACAATGCAAATACATAACCTATAGAACAAAGAAAAGACACGTGAAAACAACAAAGTTCTTATTCATCGCCGAGCTAGCTTGGGCGCAGGAGCTGGAACCACAGAGTTGGAATCATAGACCGTAACTGACGAGGTTGGGCCTTTGAAGGCCAATAAATGGTTTTAGAGCTACCATGAGTTGTGTCCCATAATGGAGACACTATAAGACAGATGAATGCGTCGAGCAACCTCGTAGGGCGCGGCATAGAAGAAACCAGCACTGTAAATGAAGAGGTTTTAGAGCTACCATGAGCAGCTTCTCGTAACGAATAGCTACAAGGCAGATGAATGCATTGAGCAACCTCACAGGCGTCGAGCAACCTCGCAGGTTTTGTAGAAGAAACCAGCACCTTCGATCAAGCCAGTAACCTGGACAGGGAGGCCCCCGGCACCTCCAAATTCGAATCAAATTCATCTTATCAAAATCGAATGAGGATAGAACTAAAACCAAGCTTTTTCAAAACTATCACTTTATGCTATATATCCTACCATGATTAACCTTTTCGTTCAATGGAAAACGCTAAGAATGGCAGGGAGCCTCTTATCCATCACTTTTCGTGCTATATCTTGCTCATAGTTTGACTTGGATAGAAGGACCAAGGACAGCCAGTGATCTAAGAGATAAAAGCTGATCTATATATACTGCACAAAACGCTGTTGCATCCATCTGTATGAATGTATCTCCAATGCAAAGAATCAATGTTACTCCTGTTCTTTGATGTACAATTTGTATTCATTTTCTTCTTTTAGGGAGTGTTGAGCGATAGTTCAACCTGCAAAGGAAACAAGAAATTTTAATTGGAAAATTAGAAACTCAAAAGAAATTAGGCATGAAGCCAATAACATGACCTAACTAAGACATGCAGATACCAGTTGCAAATGAAAGGAGTTTAGCACAATAACTGTTGACATCAACGCTGGTGTGATATTATTTACTTGCCTGAGCTTCTGAAGAACCATCTGGCATAGCCATACAATGATGGCCTCTCGGGTCTCGGCGTAGCAGCCTCAAGATCCCACCTCCTGGACCATGTGTCCGTTTCGCTGTGTCCACTTGATGCCAGGGTCTCTGTGACATGCCTCGAAGTCACCGGCAACCCCATCTCAGAAGAACAGCTGCTGGAGCACCCACTCCAGCTGCCAGAGAGCGTGGCCAAAGATCTCAGCCACCCGATAGAGCCCCTGACAGCCTCTGGCACCTCCTTACCATCTGGAACTTGCAGCGGCTTCTGTACCTTAGCGCAATCTGAGTCATTGTCGAGTCGGCCACTCGAGCCCTGGCTCAAACTTCCAGTGGTGCGCCATGAGGACACTGGCACAACCACTGCAGTGGCACGATTGCTGGAGCATCCTCTCCAGCTGCCAGATAATCTGTCCAGGGAAGGGCGCAGCCACCCATGAGATCCTCCAACAGCCTCTGCTACTGCCTCGCCAGGTGAAGTCAGCATTAGCATCTGAGACTCAATGTCGTATTCAACTGAGCAGAAGGTCGGAGCAACTTTAGTCTTGTTAGAGCCAGGGATGGTGATAGAGGCATGGCAGGACGGGCAGCATGAGAGTGTGGTGCGGCGTAGCCAGCTGATGATGCATGACTGATGGAACATGTGCGAGCACACTGGCAGTATGAGGAGCACATCAGTAGGTAGAAACTCTTTGCACATTGCACAATCGCTCCCAGGCTTCATCGGCACTGCAGGTAGCGAGAGCAACTCCAATATCAAACGCTCCACCTCTGGAAGATATGACACCGATGGCACCAGTGTGTCCATCCCACCCTTTCGCATATCAGCAGAGACAGGCATGGATGCTACCAGTTCAGACCCCTTCACTGGCACTTCTGCAGAATGTGCCACAGACGACACAGCTGAGGCAGCTGCTGATGCAGCTGACCGCATTCCAGACTCAGAACTGCAGCAAGAGAGGGATGAGCTGGACAAGCGGCCCTGGCGACGGAGACAACCTCGGCGCAGGAGCACGACGCAAGTAATCAAGGTGATTGTGGCAATTACGACAATGAAAATAATGGCAACACTGGCCCCAATCGATGAAGACTGTGGGTCTGATGCCGGCAGACTTGGTGATCCTGTAAACACCGAAGGCAGAGGTGGAGGTGGGAGAACGGGGCCTGGAAGCATATCTGCAAAATTAAAACACAAAGAACGGGGCCTGGAAGCATATCTGCAAAATTAAAACACAACAACTGTGCTTAATAAGGCAAAGATATTCAAATACGGATATAATCCGTTCTCGAAAAAAATAAGGCAAAGATATTCTGCTAATTCAATAAACTTAGTAAATGGAGATTATAGCAAACATATAATAATCCAACAACCAATGGAAAGTAAAATGTAACCAAGCATGTTGTGGACGCTTGTATTTTGCTGGATCAATCTGCATGTTGCACAAAGAAAGAGCTTGGTCTGGAATTGACATCCCTTCCCTTTTGATAAGACTGACATGTTTCATGCTTCAACTTTGGTCACAGCGAGAAAGGGAATACAGTTTGGTTCTGGTTCTCAAATTGGATTTAAGTGAGTGCACCTAGAAACATTGGTCCACTGCTATTCGAAAAGGCAAAGAGGAAGAAAATCTCGGTGGTAATAGCTCTGAAAATCAAATGGTGGGTTAGGCAAGTACTTCCAGTATCTATCAACACCGGTTGAGACACAAGAGTTTGTATTACTCTGGGAAGCTATTGGTAGGATCCAGAGATTTAGAGATTCAAGGTCAAATAAGCTAGCGATAGACATCTCACAGGGTATATACAACCTGCAGTGTGTATCTAATACAATTCATGTGGGGACTCTAATAAACTTAGTATCAGCCCAATTTGGTGGCCCAAGGGTGCAACCAGAATGTAATTTTTTCGCTTGGAATTATTGCTTAAAAAGATTTTGACTGCTTAAAACCTAAAAAGAAAATGGCTAGTGAAATAACCCTATTTGCATATTGTGTAACTCTGTGCCGGAGACTTCCACGAACTTGTGCAAAGACCGTCCTTAAACAAGACAGGTATGGGATACCTTGCTACACAGGAGCAACCTATCTGTGCTACAGAACATCAACCATGGTGGATTAATTTGTAGTTGGTGGTGGAGATGCAGGGCAAAGATTGTTAAGGCTATGAGTAGGAATTTTGATGGCATGGTGATATTCTTCTGGTTGAATATCTGGAATAAGCGCAATTGGAGGACCTTTCACCAGCTCAACAAAGCAGCATCTGGAAGTTGCGTTCTTGATTAAGGAGTCGGTTCATCAATATAGTTTAGCTATGTCAAAGTTTACTCATGGTGTGTAACTTTTCTGTCTCTTTTGGTAGTTTGTGTGGGCCTTTTCTCTCGTTTTGATGTCGCTCTCTCTCTTGGTTTCGCCAGTCGGGGTGGAGGAAAAAGTTGCAGTGGTGCAAGTGTTGTTTTCTATATTTTTTTTGTTTTATTCTTCTACGAATAAAAATAGAAGTTAACCTCTTGCGGGCGCGTGACCATAGTACAAAATTTGAAATGCAGCAACCTGATCCCCCTTTACACACACACCCGGTAACCCCGAATGAAAATTTGTCATCTACTATACCTAAATAGGAGAACCCCACCATCACATTTCTCTGCGATTCCATGAAGCCACATCATCTGGGCCCACTTCTCTTCTCCTTTGGTCAAGGCAGCTGATTGGTCATCAAGATGACATGCACTAGCATCTGTTCTAATTCTGTGTCCATCCGCAAGAGCCCCTCAATGTTACATTTCTTCTCCTTCCAAAAGAAAACGGTCAGGCACCAAGCCACTAATTAAGCAGGTTTCTCCTTCCCAAAGAAAACGGTCAGACACCAATCCATTAATTAAGCAAGGCCCTCCACTTCGTGAAGGCCTTATTAATCACCCTCCAGGCCTCCACATAAAGCTGTTGTCCGATCATCTCCTATAATCGTTGATCGGTCTGGCCTATTTATCAGAAGAGCGATAGAGCATCCCAGATTTGCTTCCATGTACGCCATTACGCACTCTACATGACCTTGATGCCCAGCTGTGCTTGCGCAATGCATGCACCAACTGGTGGTGGCTATCCATGACAACGGCGATGTGACCATCTCTCCACCTTGCAGTCGCACAGCACTAATTACTTTATCATTGTCTCACAGCACCAATTACCTCATCATCGCAAAAACTGCAGCCATGTTTCGCTCCAATCGTGGTCATCCCCAATCCAAGCATTCTATGAAGCTAGTCGGGACTGCCTTCTATTATTAGGAGATCCACCGTCATGAGCTCTATCCAGGTATTTTCTCTCTTTCATGGATGCATGATCTCAATGTGTTGTTAATTTATTTAAACCAAGTAGTATCCTACGACCTACGCACAGGAGCACTTTGGAAGTGTTATGCCATTCTGCATCTGTATAATATGGAAATTATGAAGTGAGACTATTTTCTACATTCCCTCCATCATTAACTTTCATCTCTGTTTGTTATGTTGTCTTCTAGATGATGCAAGCCCTATAATGCATTGAAGGATACAAATATCCAATTGGACTGGGGTATCTACTCAATCTCAATCATATAAATAAAAAGAGATGATTCGATTGCAGATTTGAGTCTTAAGGACTCTATGCTATCGTAAAGAATATCGAGGAATATATTTACTGCTAAAGTAATACTGCAATATTTATTATTCAATATGCTGCTTAGATATCTACTTGGCAGTCTCATCAAGCAAAAAGCAAGAGAGATGCATCTGTCACAGCTATTGCTTTTTTATTTTTATGTCTCCATTTATTTATTCTGTCTTTTGAGTTCTGAAGGCAATGATCGTGTTTTTTATTCTGTATGATCCTCCAGATTCTTTAATTTATATTTTAGGAAGTGTTGATTATATTAATTAGTATTTTACATATATACTTCGTACTGTAATTTCACATTTAATCTTGCAGCAACGCACGGGGTATATCATCTAAGTTGAATTGTAGAGGTAAATACACAGGTCACCGGACATCATTACAAGTTACAATCTTATAAATGAAGTTTACAGAAAAGAAACGACAACTGAGAAGGCACTTAGGCTCCTAAGAACAATGGAATTCAAAAGTCTTTCTAAGAATAAATTTATGCTCAGGAAGATTCCCAGAAAATTGTGGTTTACGAATTCAGTTTCAAAGTTTGGGTAAAGGGTGACAAAGTCATCTAAGTTGATCTGTAATATGTCTATACATAATTATATACACGTACAATACTGAGCACGAAATTATTGATTTCACAAAATAAAAAAGTTGATCTATAGGTAAGAATTGGTTGTTCACATCAACAGCTCTAGTTCAACAAATGTGCCCCCAAAAAAAAAAAAAAAAAAATGAATTTGGCTGCGACAACCTAATTGCAATTGGCGTAACTGATCCAATTGAGTGATCGCGTCCTGCTTCTACCCCGACACCCGACTGAATCGAACCAGTTCAATTTTCTCATGTGCAGCAAGCAGACTGGGAGCTAGGAGCTGGGTAGAAGAGACACAGACACCGACACGCACCTCGAACGTCACGAGGCGGGGACGGTGGGCGACGCAGCGGTGGTGGCGGAGCCTTTTCGATCCTCGGCACTCGCGACGAACCTGTAGGAGAAGGAGGACGACGATTGGTCGAGGGCTAGGGTTTCGCAGCGAAGAGAAGCCGGGGCGGAGGAAAGCAGCAGTGCTAGCGCGGGACGGGGGCATATACCCGGCGACGTACGGCCGCGGGGCAGGGTCCGCGGCGAAGACTTGCGACCGTAGCCGCTGGCCGCGGCCCGAGGTTTCGCCGGCGAGGTCGCTTAGGGGAGGCGGTGGTGGTGGCGGTACCGGTAGCGGTGGCGTTGGTGGGGAGGCAGAGGGGTTTTGGCGTGGGGTTTGGAAATGGTGCGGTACGCGGGAGGGGGAGGAGCAGGGGAAAAGGCGAAGAAGAGGAGGGAAGATTGAGGTTTGAGGGCCCACATGTCGGTCACACGGACTGTGTTGCTGCTGCCTGCTGCCTGGTCGGGGAGTTTTTGAGCGGCTTTCCGCCGCCTGATTGTTCCGGCGCACGACGGCTGGTACGACGACGACGTAGGATTGGTAATTTGGTATGGATGCTCAGTCGTCTCCAATGGTCTAACTTAGAACTAGCTAAATTATTTATTGGTCTAACTTAGAACTAGCTAATTCATTTACTTTACTTATTGAATAGTAAAAAAAAGAAGCTAACATGGAGTCTAGAGATAGTCCGTATATTTCATGATGCCTCTCTCTCACAACACGCAGTATGTTCGTTTGGCTGTGGCTGGTCGTAAACGATCGTAAATTTTCAGTCGGAACAGTATTTTTTCTCTCACACAAACCAGGCAGCAGTACTTTTTCATGAACCAGCAACGATACGAACCAGCTAACCGAACAGGCTGACGATACGTCTATGGCTATCTCTCTTCCACGTTTGCTAGCTTAGAGCTAGCGTTAGCTCACATTATTGGAGGACTTGGAGACACCATAATAAGACATAGGATTTGTATCGACGTGTTGTTGTATAGGTGCTAAAAGGCATTGTATCTCTTTGAAACATCTAATTTAGGTGCAACTATAGCATAACATCTTATGCAATTGGTAACCAGGCAACATCATTGTTGGGAGGCTAGATATGGATGTTGAGTAAAGATGGCAATGGATACCCGATACCCAAATACCCGATGGGTTTTTACCCGATAGTATACGGGTTTGAGATGAATGTGTCACGGTATCTTAATGGGCAAAAACTTGTACCCAGCGGGTAGAGCAGGTACGGGTGCGGTTACATACTACCCATACTCGCTCATCCATGGATAATTTTTACTCGCGTCGCCCTTCAGCCTGTTCGTTTGGCTGGTTCGTATCGTTGCTGGTTCGTGAAGAAGTACTGCTGGCTGATT